AGAACTATTACTTTTACCCTAAGTATTTTCTTTTGAGTTTGATGTATTTTAGTTCTGTATGCAAATGAAAATAAATTACCGGTTGTAGTGTAAAGCCATCAAAGTGTTAAGTCACTGGATCGGACTCCTTGTATTAGAATGAAGTATTTGGTCCTGTATCAATACTAGTATTGATTTCTGGACGTCCCTACTTTCTGCACATGTGCATGTTATCATCGGATGCAAAACTTCTCTTAAGGTTTCGGGAAGTTTTGATTTCATTTGCAGACATCAGCGAGCTGCTCTCCATAAACGGGGATTTCCTGGAACTTCTGAGAGACTCGGAATGTCTGACAATGCTGCAAAAAAAAAAACACAGTCATCTCTGTTGGTCTGTGCTCTGCAGCAAGTCTTTTTGTATTTCAGCTCCAGCTCTGCTGCAGCTGGCTAAACTATTTACACTCCCAGACATAAACACTTAAGATTAGGGATGAATCTGATTTATTGCTCCAGGGAGCCGATTGTTTGGCATCATATGTCACAGAAAGCTCAGTCTGTGATTGGTTTACTTAACAAGTATGAATTATTATCATGCTTTGCCTAATAATCAGCAGGATCAGGTTTTACTTATGGCTGCTGCTCATGAGCTCTGAAGACAACATGGTCTGCAGATGTCGCACAAATGAAATCCTTAAAGAAAATTCAAGTCATACTCAGGTTTTCCTGCAACAGTGTCGGCACGGATATACACCAGTGCACCTGGATGCCCCCCCCCCCCTCCCTCCCCCTCTCTTTCTCACACACATCTTTTCTTTTCCATCTCTCTTTCTCCCTTACAAACACATAACACTCACGTTCGCTGTTTCTCACAGTCTTGACTTACTGTTGTTTGATTTACTCCATGATCTCTGACCCTGGCCGGGCTGAGCTGGATGGACTTTTGGCACTGCTGCTTCAAGTGGCGTGTTTGTGTGTGCGTATGTGTGTGAGAGAGAGACAGAGAGAGAGAGAGAGAGAGAGAGAGAGAGGGAGATTTATAAATTACGTAATTCAAGTTGATAAAGATGCAATTTTTCAAATTTGAACTCCTTTCTTTTTTCCAAATGTACTATTATTATAAGTGTGTATATATTATTTTTGTTTATTTATTTATTTTTACCGAAGATGCAAAATCTTAACTAAATTCAGTCTTTATGAGTCACGTCTGTGCTTTTAATTTGGAGTTTCACAAGTTGCTGAAGTACACTGTCCTGTTATTTGTTTTCTTTTGTTTTGAATTCTAAATTAAATAAATATGACTTTGGGGAAGTGACTTCTTCTGACCTTGGCCACGACCCTGAGAACATAAAGCCTGTGCAAAATCAGTGAAAAATACAGACAGTGTATGAGCAATACAAAACTGCAATTTAAAAGCTCTTGGAAATGAAATAAATTTGTTCTGAGGTCACGCTTTACTGTGGATTATTGTGCTGAGTGGCCAGAAATGTGTGAGGCTGCACACCTCTGACATTGGTGTTGCTTTACGTCGTTACATACATTGTTATTGCCATACACTGTAGGGGAAGGTCCGTTCTATGACACACCTCAAACTCAAATGACCTTCTCAACACAGCGTTTACAGGGCCTGTAACTTCTGGTCAGATTTTTTTTTTTTTTTAGTAGCTCGACAGCCCAAATTCATACATTACAAAAGTTAAATCCAACAGCAAAAAGTCTTGTCCAAAATTACTTTAAATGTGTTATTTCTTAGAATATTATTATGAATGAAGATAAAATATATCCTGGTGTGAACTGATCCCAGACCTCAGTTCTTCTTTACTCACAAGTGACTTTTACACCTAAAAACACCAAAGCCTGGGCAAATAAAAAAAACATGAATAAAAAGAAAAATATATACGGATAATATATTTAAAAAATAAATTGAATCCATATAAGTATAAGTATGTATGTACATATGTATGTAAATATACTTCATGTCCAAATACTGTGAACGTATGTGAGCTTCCATTCCAGAGCAGCCTGTTTTTCATCACATGTATCATGGATAAGCTTCTTCATGGTGGCCCATCCAAAAGTAATTACAGTTTCACTTAGATAATTATAACCTCTCAGCTGAATCGCTACTTACTGAACAATTTACCAAAAGTGGTATTTTATATTTAAATGTAAAACTCGTACACATTTCCAAGTTCCCAACAGCATGGTGCGTGTGTGCATCTCCAGTCTGAACTGATGTCTGAGAGACTAAAACAAGACAGATCCACTGGACCGTAAGAAATAACTAAATCTTTAGCAGATAAATCTGTCAGCGCTACTTTGAACCCGTGCTTCAGATGAATCTTTTTTCCCTTCTTCCCTTTGATGGGACTTATTCATGCCATAGCTGTGGTATTTTGCATAAAGTCTTGTCTCTGAAGTCGAATCATGGCTTTGAGTTTTCTAACAGATGTGGGATCCCCACTGTTTCCCTCTTCACACTTTGGGCTTAAAAATATTGAGTTAGTTGTAACCATCAAAGTGTGATACCATTTTTTTTTTCAAAAATTACTTTTGGCTGTTTTGTCTTTTGGATTGGACTGATAAACCACATCTGTGATTTAACAAGACG